GTCATACCTCATTTATTTGCCGCCCGACACGTCGGGTTTGATTCAACCAAAATCAATTCTCAATATCCCCGTCCTCCTTTCCCTCCATCTTCCCTAACAACTCTCAACGAGCCTCCAATACCAGTCGTACAATTGTTTGCCCTTTCCCTCGTTTCATCATGTTATTCTTTTTATTTTCATGCTGTATTGTCCATGGAGATTGCTATAAATTATCACAACTATGATTTCTCAGATTCATATTGCAGAATGTAACGTCGGAATTAACGTTTCTTCGTTCAATTTGCTTTGCCTTTTTGCCCATGTTCCCCTCTTGAAGCATAGGTTAACGAATAATGTTATTATTATGCCCTGCCTGATCACGGTCTCTCACGTTGCGCTGTTGACGAATCCTAAGCAATGTCCAATCTGTTGTTCGCCTCGGATAAAAACACCTTCTGGCAAACAATCCTGTGTGTATTAATTTATAACGCAAGTTATACTCATAATATTGTGTGAAATTTCAGCTACCAATCAGCCTTATCATTAGCTTAAACGCAACTGGGTGAATATATCTCACTCTTTTCTTATGCCTGGTTAGCTTTGGCTCTCCGAAGTCTGTTGGTTTACTCTCTTATATCCTTCTCTTTTACACGTATTTTGTAAATCACTTTTTGATCAATCATTTTAGGTTTTTCCGTATATATACCTATGTATTTAAATTTATTTGCGGAACACGGAACCACTTATTAAAAAAATATATAGTATCCATGTGTATTATGAAATTTAAAGAAGTGTTCTGCCATTTTACAAGATGTTTCATTTAGTTGATGCTGCTAGATTATATTTTATCGCAGAACAGAGTTGTAAGCCTCAAATAATGAAAGACAGAAGTAGCTATAAGTGTAAACTATGAAAATGCTTCTGTCCATCTTGACACGCATTTGGTGTGGTGCCCAAATTACATGTCAATCGGGACTAAAATTGAGAGTTGAGAATATCGAACAACTTGTAAAGTTAATCGATTGACGTAAAGTGTGCTAAGAGTAATGAAATGCTCAGTATCAATGCACCATACAGTTGATGGAAAATCTAAAAAACAGATCAGAAATCTGAACAAAAAAGCATGGATTTACAAGGAAAATAGAGTTTTTTGTCGATAAGAATAAAGCTTTACCAAAGAAACTGACTCTTAAAAGTTAATTATGCTTTATTCGGTTCAAATGAAGCTGGAAATAAGTTATAACGACTGTTAAATGACTGAGAAGATATCACAGAAAAGAAATGATAATATTACGGAGCCTCTTTTTCTTAGGTGAATTTCATATGCAAAAATGTAATTTACGATTTAAAAGAGCAGGATATGGACTTGGAGGCACGTGTGTTTGAGTTAAAATGTGTATTTATCTCCTAAAGGTTTTCTTGAGACTAGATAGACAAATGCGATTTAAATTAGAGTTAATATAAGTTGAAGTTGGAATAAGGCGAATGAATTATGTACAGAGAATATACAGCCTTCAGGACTTTTATGGGGCTATTCATCATAATTAATAAAAGCGACGAAGAATTTCTAGTTATAAAGTAGCAGCAGATAAGCAAGACCGGAATGCCACAATCGCTTTTAGTTTGTCCAATCATCGAACCACCACTACTAACTATCAATGGAAGCATCAGCAGACTCAGCACTATCACTGTCAAGTTCAAATGGCAATCGGATTGACGAGAGGTTCTTTCGACAAATCTGTTCCTCAACTTCTTCCTCTGCAGTGGGGTTCAGGTCAAGCTCTTCGTCCTCTTCACTCGGTTCTGGAGAGTTGCCTTCATCAGTGGTTACTAAGCCCATGTGAGGAGAGAAGACAGTTTGCATTTTAGTAGGACTGGATCGGATAAAATTGGGCATAAATCGGCTCTGATCAACAGATTCTCTTTCTCTTTCCCTTTCAAGTTCGGCATAGATTTCATCGCTCGGGCCGACCCCTGCTTCCAAAACAGACTTAATGTTGTCTCTATTAGTTTCAAAATGCATTAAGTCGTCACTACTGCCCACACGGATAGAGCTGACAAACGAAGCAGGGCCAGTAGAGACCGATCCATGGGTTCCACAAATTGGTGCACTCACGCCAGGCGCGCTATTACTTTGACATGTAGACTGAACTTCTGATGTTTGACGACGACGAGCCAACATCTGCTGATGCCGCTGAATAAGACGATGCCGGAGCAAAGAGTGTTGTTGTTGTTGCAGGGTCTGCGACCGTTGAGGTGAAGTAAGGCTGAGTGAGTCAGACATAGATTCAGTCAGGTGGGATACGACATATGACAAAAGAAAGTCTTTTAGACCCTGGCCAAGAGCAGTATTTCCGCAGACGGCATTGCGCCGGCGACGTAAACGCAGGCGGAGAGAAGAAGAGAGATCGATAGGGCAGTTCTGACCAGCAGAAATTTCATTTGTGTTGGTGGTGTGAGCTACGGTTTCACAAGGATGAGCTGGAATTCTACCTGTATCTGCCACCTCGTTGGAACCCTCTGTGCCATACTTATCGAACATAGACATGTCATTAACAGAGGCTGCTGAAAATGAGTAAATTAAAAAACTGATTAGAAAACAAATATAGATTCGTGTTCCGCAAACGAATCAGCAAAGATATAGTAAATATAAGGGCCCATATTAAAACCCATTAGCAGGATTAGAAATATTTTATGAAGAAGCATTTAATGGTTTCATATATTAGGACCTTTCTATTCGTCTGAAAAATTGACCTCTTCTAAGATGTGAAAATATCCTTGGATTTGAGACTTAATTTAGGTCAAGAAGTCCTTGACACACTATAGTCCACTAACGTTTATATAAAAAGCGAAAGCTTATGGCAGATTCCTCGGGGTAGGAGGACTATGCGCTGAAGACTTCACCCGAACCAAAAGGCAAAACTGCAAGACAATCTTCCTTCCGCTATCGATGAGGCCAATTTGCGAATCCCTTCGATCCAATTTTTCATAAGGATTGTAAGGACTAACCGCATGTCGACCACATATTGAGACAGTGAGTAACAAGATCCAAGTGTTGCTTCATGGTACTCAGAGAGAAGTCCTAGGGCAAATGATCATGGCAAATGAAAAAATAAAACAAACTTTAGGGGCAGGTCCGCTGAAAAAATAAGTGACATTCGAATTAAGTGGATAGGGAAATTAACAGAAAAACTCCCCTCAATCATTGGAAAAGTTAATATGATATAACCAGGTATAAGAGTTATAGTTATCCGTTGTGATAATTAATTAAGGATAATAATAGTATAATATTCTGTTAAATCTTACTAATATAAATAAGCAGTTATAAGAAGAGTGTAGAGAATTAAAAGGAAAAGATCAGGTAATAATGAACATTTTTATGGTCAAGAAGCCTACCAAACTGGCTACATGATTCATAGTGGAATGTGATATGATATAAAAGCTATCAGTATATAGGAAACATTTCGTCTTTTGCTCAACACCACATAAGATGGAGGCTAATTGCATAGCACTATCTATTCCATAGTTGTCTCACTGGAAGGCGTTAACTTAACAATGATTCAAGACCTCTGATTACAAAATGGCTCTTTAGATTAATGTAAAATAAGAGCAAAAATACTTGAGTTTTTAAAAAGCTTTTGTTTACAACTCCAAAAGAGATGTAAGATGATATTATATTGAGTAATGGATGAAAAGAAGTAAGTATTCTTTTTTCCAGTAAATTATGCGTGTCTGATAATCAATGACAGAAATAAGAATTCTACGTTTTTGTAATAGGCGTGCACATTTTGTAAACAGATGAATTATCTTTACCTAAAAAAACGAGCTTTCGCAGACCTCGACGATTAATTAGCAAGAATTATGGCCCAAATTAGACATTCTGCTTCATATCAACTAGACAAATATTCTAATATCATTCTTTTCTATTCCTCACTACTCGGAGGTAAAAGGCTAATAGTTACGATTATTTTAGGCTCAAAAAACTTACAGCAGGATATAAAAAAGAAAGAGGATTTAATGTAATGAAATTATAATGAAGCTCAATCAAACTTAATTTAAATTTTTTTCCCTAACTTTACACTTAAAATAAGTCGTTCGTGTGAACTTAAAAGTTTAATGGAAAGGTGGAAGGCATCATATAAAATGGAAATAAGTTCCGTGATAGTATAAGTTAAGTTCCACGTGCTCAAGAGTATAGATTAAGGAATATAATGCCGAAAATCCGCACTCGAACATGGATTATGTAGTTTCGAGAAATTTAATTTTCAAGTGAAAGAACCTCGCTATACATAACGCTAGATAGGAATTTTTAGTGGAAAAGCATTTTCTCTGAGACATAATATTTCCTATATTGAAATAAGAAATTGTAACAAATCTGGATTTTAAAAACGAGTTAAATTAGCACGTAACACTCAAGAATATGCATAAAATAATGATACATTTCAGGATTTCTCTTCAGCTCAAATAGTCTTTATTTTATTCAACTAACAAATGATTTACATAGACAGTAAAAATCAGCCACTAAGAAGTTAACTAAATAAAAAGTTAAAGAATTTTATTCTTAATATAGAACCAGACCGAGTTTACGAATATTTTGTGCATATAGGGTTTCACGAGTCTAATCACCACTAGCATAAGTATATAAGGATAGTCTATCGGTTTGACAAAGATACAGCAAATTGCCTCAATACCACTTTTGATAATTTCACTCGCCCTAGTTAAGAAACTTCGACATTGACTTTCCAAAGCGATCAAAAACTCCACCTGCTGTACTAAAGCTGTATTGAAGGGACTTTCATTTTGTATGAAAGTACATAAAAAAGAATGGTCACAAACAACTAGGTTTGCTGATAATGGTACGTCTGTGGTTAAAAGAAAAATGAGGCTATTGAAATGAATAGCTTGGAAAATACGATGAATGTGAGAAACGGTGGTAGAAAATTGAGTAGGAACCACTTATGTCTGATTGATAGAGTGAAGGAGAG